AACGGTAATCAGCGGGTGTCTACAGCAGTCAGCGGCGACCAACGACGATCACTAGTGGTCGACGATGATAGGGGATGGTCAACAACGGTCGGCGGTGATCGACGGTGATCGGCGGTGGTCAACAACGGTTGACGATGGTGCTTGACTTCAGCTCCTTCTATAAGTCTCAAGTTCTCTCTCAAGGCTCAAGCTTCTCTCATATGAGGGGTGGGGCTCTATTTATAGTGTTCTGAGTGCAATTAAAGCAGAATTATAAATCGTTTTGATTAGACGGACCAGAGAGCTTTCTTCAATCAGATGGCATTTGATGGACATTTAAGTGCTTTAACGATGTCAGAATTGAGCAATCATGGCGTTGGATTAGTCTTTATTGGATTCGTCTTGTTAAGATGCTCGATTTGACTATAAACTCGTCATATTTGACATCTGTTTGACATTCCAATTTTTTTCGGGAATCTTTCAAAAGTGGTTTAATGACTTGATTTGACTATTTTTATATCATTATAATGATTTAATAACTTGATTTGATTAGTTTTTATATTATTAGGTTCGTCTCATCGAGCCGGTCAGTTTAACTTTGTTGAAATCAGAGTTCTTGATGACTTATAATTGAAGTTTGAATGTTTCTTGCTCAAAAAATTATCTCGAGATTTGTATCGGATAATGGAGGTTTGTTCGAGGCGTTTCACACATGTTACCAAATGAAACTTATGCACACCCTTCCTTCTCTCCTTTCAAGGCTCCATATTCAACATAATTAATCCATCCCTCCAACATAATCTGAGAAAATATTAGGTGCGTGGAACACACCCGTGCCCAACCAATAGAAGAAGAGAAAGGGGAGGGCTCTATCTCCCCTCTCTCTCCTTCTATTGGTTGAGCGAATGTGCACCTAATGTTTCCTCCCATAACACAGCCCACCATGTAATATGCCCCTCCTTTTACTATTTGACTCTAATCTAATCTTACCAAATTACAAAAAAATAAAAAAACATTTGAAAACATACAAATCCAACACCAAAGTCAATAAAAAATAATAATGATAACAATAATTAATTAAAAAAAACACACCAATGGGCATATATTTAAACAAGGACCCACCACATATGAACCCATCCACATAATTGATACATGCCCATCCTCCCATTATACCAAATAGAATTGTGCACAGCTCATCAACAAGCCTTCCAAATCTCCCTCCTTCTCCCCCTTCTACACTCTCTCCACATCCTCCCAACCCTTTCCTCCCTCCTCAGCCATGTCTGACTACACAAACAATCTCAAGCTTCCTTCTCCCTTCTCCTTCACAGAAATTGCCCATTTTGCAGAGCTCGGTGAGAATGCCATGGAAAATCCAAGCCCACACTTCACACCAGAAGCCTTCAGCTTTCCTTTAGTCCATAATCTTCCAAACTTTTTACCACATGATCATCACAAACCTGTCTCAGAACCTGCAACCGATAACAAGAGGAAGCAATCAACTGCAAACCATTTGGAAGAAGAAGAGAACTCTAAAAGAAGGAAGGAAGTAGGCATCATAACTGCTCTTCATATCTAAATCATTATACTTAAGAATTATATTATTTAGTAAAATTGCAAGTAAATACTTACATGATATTATAAGATTTGCATCAATTTCCATTTTCTTTTTTTTTTGGTTTTAAAGGGTTTGAAAGAGAGTGCAAGGAGTAGGAATTCAGATGGAGGAGAGAAACAGAAGGAGGTGGTTCATGTGAGGGCCAGAAGAGGCCAAGCTACTGACAGCCATAGCTTAGCTGAAAGGGTAAGTTTAGTGCTTGTTTATAATCATTTTTATTTTTATTTTTTTTATTTTAAATATATATATGTATAGTCTATTTTTTCTATGAAATAAAAAAATTAATTCAAATAAACCTTATAATTTCAGTAATTGACATACTTTGACCCCACCAACATATGTGAGCACACACCCATAGTTGTGGTGGGTGGAGCCTACTTTGCTGCTGCTGATTCTACTTGATATTCATGCAATGTATCTGACATTTTCACTTTTATATAATTGGGGAAAGCATGGGGCTGATTGTAACTTTGATATTTGGTCAAACTCAGGTGAGAAGAGAGAGAATAAATGAGAAGATGAGATGCTTACAAGATCTAGTTCCTGGCTGCTATAAGGTACATAACTACCTATTTATAGTGCACTTCATTTGATTGGAGTGCATGGTTATGTGCTGGTATATACTCGTTGTGTATTCCATCCGGTTCGAGCGAATGCATGCATGCATTTAGGGGTGTAACTTAGCTGAGTCGACTCGTGAGTCAACTCAAGCTCATGCCCAACAAGTGGCTCGTGAGTTTAGCACGATGAATTAATAGGCCAAGCTCTTAGCTCTGTCTCGACTAATTGACTCATGAGCTGGATGCTTAATGTAAATTGTATTTCGAATATATTAAAATTTACGGCTTTATCTTTAAATTATTTAAATATTAAAAAAAAAGATATTTTAAATTTTATATCACATGATTTCTTATTATTTATCTCATATTAAATGTTCACTCTATTTGTCATTTTATTATAACGCTAGATTGAATTAGTATTTTTTATTTTATTTTATAATAAACAAGTCAGCTTAAACTCTTATACAATTAATCTCAAATTTAATTAATTAATGCTCTAACTGAATATGGTTGGACTTGTTTATGCACCTAACGACAGTACACAAATATGTGCTTTTGTCTTCTACATATAGAACTAAGTACATTATGTATACCTAATAATTTTTCAATCTTTGAAATTTAATTAGTTTAAGTTGATGGATTAATTAATTGCTTATTACATCTTTTTAATCCTTTTCTTCCTTATAGACAATGGGCACTGCTACTATGCTTGATGAGATAATTAATTATGTCCATTCTCTTCAAAATCAGGTAGAGGTGAGTTCATCTCTCTCTCTCTCTCTCTCTCTCGAGAAAATATTAAGTCAATCATACGGACGTCCAAATGTCGGCATGAATCGCACCACGCCATTGTGCGCAGGGCGGGCTGAGATTCAGGCCGTCATCCACATGCTCGGACGTCCAAAGGGCGGCATGAATCGTACCATGCCGTTGTGCACAGGGCGGGCTGAGATTCAGTCCACCATCCACATGCTCGGTTATTCGAAATTAATATTTTCTCGTGTGTGATTGTGTAATTATAATTTTATGATTATGAGAAACACCTTGCAGTTTCTTTCAATGAAGCTTTCAGCAGCGAGTTCCTTCTATGACTTTGAGTTGGATGTGCAGTCCATGGCAGCTGCACAACAGGTGATTTACATAAACAATTATTTATTTATTCATCTTTTTTTTTTTGCATAAATAAAGTATTTGATGTGATTGGGGGGCAATTAGTAATTATTATGCTAATTAGGGGGTATTTTAAAAAGACAATTCCCTGTTTTAGGGAAGATTCTAATAGTTTGTCTGCATCTCAATATTTAAAAAAAAAACAAAAAAAGAAGGAAAAATATGATGGAAAAATAATATATGCATGATATTTTTATTATATTTAAATTGTATAATTAATATTAAGTTAATTTGGCTTAGAAAAATTCAATAATGCAAAGATATAATTATATGATATTTTTTGTATGAATTAATTATTTGAAAACATATATCTCTCAATAATTTACATGTAAATATTTATTTTTAGGAGCAAATATTTAAAATGCCATGTTCAATAAAAAAAATTGTTAATTACATTATTCTTTTTTTTTAATTATAAGTAAAGCTAATTTTTATTTTTAAAAAATGAATAATTAATTAGAAGTCCTTATAAGAACCTCTATTTATTTATATTTTTACTGTGTTATATATCCAAATAAAATTCCTCAAATTATATTTGTACTAATTTCTTATTTTTTTCTTCTTAATTTCCTTTTTGCAGATGGGAATTGCTCATAATGAACCCCAAAATAATGATTTTTACTAATCTCTCTCTCTCTCTCTCTCTCTCTCTCTCTCTCTCTCTCTCTCTCTCTCTCTCTCTCTCTCTCTCTCTCTCTCTCTCTCTCTCTCTCTCTCTCTCTCTCTCTCTCTCTCTCTCTCTCTCTCTCTCTCTCTCTCTATCTCTCTCTCTCTCTCTCACTTCATTGTTCCCTTATCCCATGCATGGCACACGTGCGAGAGGTCATTTCATGAGTCCATGCATATGTGTGGGCCTTAGTTATGAGTGCAATTAAATAATAAAGAGTAGTATTTTTTTCATGTCAAACATGAGTGTATGTTTGTGCTATGGCTCATTGCTTCCATGCCTTGTTGTCTCATGAATGTTTTACTTGTTGGAATCTAGTGGTTTAGAATATATTCATGAAATACAATAGAAGCTAATTTATTTAATTATTGTGATTGAATAAGGAGTGGTAACTAGGTTTCTAACATTTTGCAATAAATTAATGGGTTCTTGCCTAATCTATTTGGAAAATTTATATACATGCCACACAATTCTTATGTATTTGCGTATCTAAAACACGTAATTTGATATTTGTAGTTATGACTTTTCGGTGTCTTAAACCCATGCATGAAAATGTTAGCTATGTAAATACATAAGATTTGTGAGTTGTGCATGTAAATGCCCCCTTGTTATGATAAATACTTCTAGTAATTTCTAAGATGAAATTAAGAATTCGTTGGTATTGTTGTTAGTTGGGAGTATTTATAGTTAAATGTTCTATAGTTGGAGTTAGGATTTTTTAAGTACAAATTTTGTGATTCTCAACATAAAAAATATATATAATCAAACTATTATGTATTTATATCTCTAAATTGTTATATCTACTTATATAATACTATAATTTTAAAATCACATCACATTAATTTATCTAAAATGTAATACATTTTTTAATGCATATGTTCTGATGATATTTAGACACTGAAATCTTATATAACTTTATATCTTAAGAACTCATTGGTAAGTATGTAAATCCCCTATTTTTTTCACAACAATGATTTGTTACATAGATTGCATCAATATAAGATAAAGATTTAGTCTAAAGAAGAAGCCTAACATTTGTTTTGAAGCATGAAATTAAAAAATATTAATGTTAATACCTAGCTCTAGAAAAACGGCCAATGAGCATCTAACTAAAAGCCTTTAATTTGAGCGAAATGCATCATGAGGGTTTCAAGAGCGCTGTTAGGGTTTCCTCCAAAGACTCCCTTTCTTCCTTTTTCTCAAGGCCCCCCCTCTCTGGAGTTTTGATAAATTAACCTTATGGATTCTTCTTCTTTTCCCCATCTCCATGTTAAAAACCCATCAATTCTTGATAGATTCTTTTCTATGAACTTGCAGGGCATTTTTTTTCCTCTTAGTTCTCAACCTCTTTCCACCTTGAACCTACCATTTATTCTTTGAAGTCAAATATGTTCTATTTGATGACACGATCAATAAGAGATCTAAACAATGGATAAATAGACCTTTCTATTGTAATATTTTTCAAGCTATTTAATAATTTATGGAACTTGAGAGGTAAAGTTGATCTCATATCACTAGTTGGTGTTTTCCTTTTAAGTTTAATTGTGTTGATGATTATGAGATCGTTATTACTGAAAGTCAGTGGTGTATCAGTGTCTAACCCTTTATCCTTAAAAATGGATACCTAATTTCAAATATATTAAGAAATATTTTAATGAATTCAATATTTAGGTTAAATTTATAATCTTCTTTTATGTTACTAGATAGATATTGGGATTTGTAATAATCCTAACAAGATTGGGGTTCCCCTTATTATCAACAATCTAGTTTCTAAGGACATCTAACTCAATTTTATCAGATTAAAAATATAAATCAACACAAAAACACAGTTGCCAAACTTCACTACCTTTTTTTTTTTTTGTCAAGGGTAAGGATGTCCATCAATAAGTTGTGTACAAAGGGAATCCATCCTCTTACAAAACCTATGATACTTTTGCCTGTGATTCTACTTCATGAACTAAATCCCTATCGTACTAACTTCCCTCCATAATTACTACCCATCGAGGTAGAAGTCAAAATTGGCATATAATGAGATCCATGCCTATGAGAAAGTTGAACAAAACCAATCATCCTCGTTGATCTTTCTGAGCCACGAATGATTCACTTGATATGATTTTCAATAAAACTTCTTCCTATAACTTACACCACTTCTCTAACCACACACTTGAAATTTATTAGATACATTTATCTCTTCCAGCTCACAATAATAACCTAATATGGCTTGCTTCCACCATGTATAATGCTCATCCCTTTACCTCATCCTAACATGCTACTTTTAAACCCAAAAATGGCAAATCAAAAGGGGAATCTTCATTAACCCAAAACTAACATATTTATTTTTCCAAGATAGGGGTCTAAAATGTTCATGGATTTAATGATGACATACTTATTAATCAACGATAACAATTTGGACCATCTTTGTTTGATGGAATCCAGTCCGTCCACTTACATCACCTTCGACCCAATCTTTTGTAATCATTTTAAGATTTTCCCAAATGAAAATAATATTATTAACTTCACTTTATCCCCATATGGCATAATTTTGATCAAATTGAACAACACTACCACCTCTTTATTTATTTTGGAAAGTTAAAATCAGTTTTTTCAAGCTATTCTGATATTCTCGTTTGTTATCAAATTCTATATTACATAGTTTTATGATAATAATTGTGCATTGAAAAAGAAAGAGTTAAGAAATTCTAACGTCTCCATGGCTTCTAGCATTATTGACCCATTGACCATCATGAGAGAATGTAATTGTATTCAATGATTTGAGAATAAATTGGGTGGCCATGCAAAATGATTGATTTTAACTCCTGCATCTTATACTCCACCATATTTGAGCTTCATAAAATTTGACATTGTTTTAACCGGCTTCACTTATAAAGTGACAATCCTATCATATGCTTACATAAGAGAGATTTCTCAAATGAAATTTGTATGAACACTTATCCCTTATCCCACTTCAATGTTATAGAACCCTTAAAATTTGATCACTAACTATATATTGCTTAATAAGATTGATACTACACTTGTTTATTTGCTTGCATTCTAGACTTATAATTTTGTAGCTCGGTTAGGATTCCTTTTCTGACACTATTTTATACAAGCATGACAATTCTTTTTATTTTTTATTTAGCAATGATCACATATAACACACAATCTACATGGTTGGCTTCCTTTTTTTCGTGACATAATAAAGTCCTATAGCATTTTGGGACTCAACTAGTTCTTGAGTTACTATCCTCAGTTACCCTGAGATTCTCTCTTTCCATCTTTAATGATATATTGGTAGTTTTTGAATCATTTAAAATATTTTATGAACTTAAGAGGCTTGTTTTGTATATCAATATCTGCTATATTTTATCTTTCATGACATTAAAATAGACTTTTTCCCGTTGTTCTAAACTATTAATGAGTTAGGTGATATTAGTATTCTTATCATGGATTTTCTTAGATATCTGAGATAGCCTCTTCTTCTTTGTTGTTCAAGGGAGGCTCTCTATTTTTATGTGAAAATGATTTTACACATTATGCTTCATGGCTATCTTATATCTCAATCATTCTTATCTTTGGGGGTTTCTTGATATTGGGGCCTGTATTATGCTCTCAACATGACTATTTTTAACCCGAATACCTTAAATTCCTTGGCTAATTTAATTTGATCCTGGGACTTGTGTTAATGCGACATTAGGCAATAAACTATAATGGTCCTCTAAGTAATAATAGTCTGAAGTACTACACAACGTCATATGTTCACATAAGAAGCTTTAATATTGATCTAAAAAATCATTTTAAATTTATGGGATCCCAATTCAAACTTGACCTAACTCTAAATCAATAATATCTACATATTTAATTCAAAATATTATAATATGTGATTTATCTTGCAAGAGTTCTTTTTTCATATTATCAAATATGTTAGAGAGAGAGTGGCTGATATTTTCTTAAATTTAAATTCTATTTTCTTAAAAAAATACAAAAAAATATTTCTTAATATGCTAAAAGACAAACCGACTTATTAAAGTAAATAATTTAATGTAACTTAATAAGGAAAAAA